GACTCATGGGGTATTACTACTGCTGTCAGGGGCCGTCGATGTGACAAAAACCCCTAACAACAGATCGAAACCTTGTCTGGTACTGCAATCCCAGAAGTGCACAGTTCAAATCCACCAGATGCTCTGCTGGAGAAGGAGGAACAATCTCCTCCTGTACCAGTCAGATCTGATTTGACGGTACACACACACAAAATAATAAAATAAACAAAACAAAACAAAACCCTTGTCTGACCTTATACCTCCCTCATGATCTTGGCCATGCTCAAGCACACTAAGGCAGTTACACTCAATCTTGTGGTCCCGGAGAAGAGTCCTGAACATACCATAGACCACCAGGAAAACAAATAAGTCTGTTTTGGGGAGGATGAAACCAAGTCTCTCCTTGGAGGCTAGGAATTTGGAGCTCTGTCTCACATACTTTGGGCACGTGGCCAGGATAGACCGGTCCTTGGAGAAGAACATCATGCTCAGAAGGGTGGAGGGACAGCGCAGGAGAGGAAGACCCCAGGTGAGACGGATTGATGCAGTAACTAGGGCAAGGAGTGTTGGGGTGTTGGAATTAGTGAGACTGGCTCAGGCCATGGCAGGTTTCAGAGCTGCTGTACATAGGGTTGGTATGGGTCTCAGGCAACTCGACGGCACATAACAATAACAACAACAACAACAATCTTGTTGAGGGTCTTCCTCTCTTTCACAGACCCTCTACTTTCCCCAGCACGATGTCTTTTTCCAAGGACTGGAATCTTCTGATCGCAAGTACATGAGATGAATCTTACCATTGATGCCTCCAACAACCATCCTGGTTGCATTTCCTCCAAAACATATTTGTTTGCTTTGTGTTTTTTTTAGGGGGGGAGTCCATGGGATATCTGGTACTCTTCAACAACACCCCCAATTCAAAGGCATCCATTCTTCAGTCTTCTTTGTTCATTGTTCACTTTTCACATGCATATGAAGCAACTGAAAATATCATGGTTTGAAACAGTTGCACCTCAGTCTTTAAACAGACATCCTTACTCGCTAACACTTTGGAGAGGTCCTTGACAGCAGATTTTCCCATTGTAACATGTTTCTTGGCTGCTGCTCCCAAAGGTGGCTCTGGTGGCATAGTGGGTCAAGAGTTGTGCTGCCAACCCCAAAGTATGCAGTTCAAATCTATCAGGTGGTCTGTGGGAGAAAGATGGGCCATCACCTCCTGGGCAATTTACAGCTTCTGAAACCCTGCAGGAGTGCTGGTCACGGATCAGTTCTCAGTTGATGACAATGAAAGGAATAAGCTAATGTGGGTGTTGATTGTGGATCCGAGCAAAAGAAAATCACCGATAACGCCAATCTTTCCTCCACTTCTCATGTTACCTCTTAGTAGACTGTTGTTAACTCTGACAGAGTTCCAATGCTACGTTTGTGGCGGAAGCCAAAACAATTATCAATACTTATTAGGTAATAGAGGAAATAGCAGGAATTCCATGTGAAGTTGTTGGGAGAGTTTTTGTTGTTTTATGCTGTTGAGTTGATTCTGACTCCCAGTGACTCATGTGCTGAACTTACTCTACTGGGTCTTCAGGGACACCATCTTTCAAGAACTAGCTATCCAGGCCCTGAGCCATCTCTAGGCAGATTTGAACTGCCAACCTTCCAGCTTGTCAAGTGCTTAACTGCCTGTGGCATCCAGACAACCCTGGGGAAATTATTATGTGCTGTCAAGTTGTGACTGACTCATAGCTATGAGTTTTAAGAGGCTGTAAATTGCACGGGGAGAGAGTGCCCCTCTTTTGGCTGCATGACAGCTGGATTTGAACCATATGCCTTTGTGTTGGCGGTACAACTCCTTAGCACGAGGCCATCAGAGCTCCCTGGGGAAAACAGTGTCATTTAACAGCACAGCAGCATGCAGGGGCCTCACCCTCCTTGGGCTTGCCTTGCTGATACACGGAGGAGGGAGGTGTCAGCATTCAATGTGAATGTTGCAAGATAGGCATGACATGGCATCAACCTGTGAGCTAGCTTGGCATTCCACATCCTCAAGCCTTTGCCAAGAGGGTGGAGGCGTGGACGGTTACCAGCCTCCTCCCTGGCCTACTCATGATGTGAATGCATTAAACAGGGTATCTCTGGACAGGTCATAGGAATTCTCCAGAAAACAGGCTGAGCACAGTACCAGCTCCTGTTGAGAAGGATACACATATTGTCACTGGTGTCTCTATCCTGGGGAGCTGACTGGGAGCACCCAGCAGAATTGCACCTGCCTTTACCCCACTGTTCCCCTGCCACACAGTGCCTGTCACACACTGAGAGATTCCCAGGGGTGGAGACCGAAGGTTAGAAATCTGGAGTCCAGATGTGTGACCAGGTGCTGATGCTCCAGATGAGAGCCCCAGGTCGGGTGGGTGCGTGCTTCAGAGGAGAGACCATGGTGGTCAGAGGGGAGAAGGGGAAGTGACCATTTAAAAGCTCCCCACTCTGCTTGTTGAGGGCCCTGGCATGCTGGCTCAGGCTACTTGGGCCTCAGGATGCTGGTTAAGGGCTTGGTGCATCCAGGGTGGCCCAGGAGCCAAAACAGGGCCTGGAGAATAAATCTTGGACACAGGCCAAACTTCCCACATTACTAACATCCCAGTTCCCACTCCTGTCATTCAGCAAAGGTGTGTTGTAATGACCATCTGTTTTCCCAAGAGAAAGTGTGAAAGAGAGAGCGTGGCTGAGGTGGTGCCACCAGACCCTGGGGGTCAGAGAGGGTCAGTTAGGGGAGGGATTGGCCACACAGATCCTCAAGGAGAAAAGGAATGAGGCTAGGGGGCAGAGAAGGACAGGACCTTCTCAGAAACCAGTGGGCCTGTCTGAGTCACAGCTCAGAAGGGGGAGTTCTTGAAGGATTTGCAGGTGGAAGGAAGGTGATCACAGAAGGGAAATCGGGACACCTCCAAGGACAATCTCCTCTCTATTCCTGGCAGTCCAGTGGCTACATCAAGTTCAAAGGCAGGCCTTTTCAGGGAGCTGAGTCTCTGAGCTGGTGGAGGGGCCTGCTTTCCTGCTCTCTGACCCTCCTGCCCCTTTATTTCTTCATTCCCCCAGAGCAGAAGAGTGGCATAGGAAATTCTAGCTCCTGTGGGGACCTCTGCTGGCTTCTTCTTGTTGTTGATTGCTTTAGAGTCAAGCACGATTTACAGTGACCCTATGAACAAAACACCTGAAGCCTTTCTATAACTACCGACATTTATCAAAGTTCATAGTTTCCGGAAGCAGGTTGTTGCGCTGCTGATACAAAGGTGGATTTCCAGTTGGGGTGGAATTTGGAGAAAAATGGCTAGTTTCCTCCCCGAGCTATTTCCTGCTTCTGAAAACCTCCTAGAGGGTCAGCTATATGTTGATTTCTACTAGATAGCACACAACAACGTGGAGCTCTGATCCTGTACTCTGTAGGGAGTTGCGTTGCTAACCTCAGGTTGGCACTTGCCTGGCAGTTCCAATGTATTAGCAGCTCCACGTGCAATCAATCCACTTTTTTCCCCTGGATGACTTACAGAATCGAAAAAACTCGCTGGAGGGTCAGTAATGAGTTCCAACTTCTGGGCAATGACTTGCTTTTTTGCTAGAGACCTCACTCAAGCTGGACCAGGGCCTCACCACTAGAGGGAGCTCTGCCCCAGGGAGCTGCCCTTTGACAGCGTCTGGGGCCACGGCAGTCCCATAGAGGACACCAGTGCAGAAAACCCTACAACGCGCAGGATTCGGCCCCATCCACGCAAAATGAGACAAGGCAACTTCCCAACACGCTCACATCACACGCATGGCCCTGCTCAAGCGCAATGGGGAGTGTGGCTGTGACCCAAAGAGACCCAGCGACTGGGGAGCCTTGAGTTGGGAGGAGGGCTTGCACTGTGTGTGGGTGCATCTGTAGCTATGGTGGAATCATTTTCATACAGTGTTGAAGGATTTGAAGTAGAGGAAACAACTTCGTTAGGGTAAAGCAGAGGTGGCAGGGAAGTGGTCAAGGCTACTGGGGTCGGGCGGGGAAGAAGGGTGGTCCCTCTCTGGGGAGGGAGTAAGGGAGTAGGGAAGTAGGGAAGGGGGAAACCACAATAGTTGTATTGAGGGACCAAGGAGAATCTTGGGGGCTGGGCCACCGCTGCGTAGATAGTAATTGAGGGAGGGTAGGAGAGAAGTGGGGGCTGAGCAAGGACCCCACTTCTTCTGTGCTCTAGACTCAGGAGTTGATGGAGAACTGGGAGCGCTCAGTATCAGCTGTGAGCCCAGGCGGTCAACAAGGGAGTGGCCCGGGGTGACAGGTGTACGCAGGCACGCACCTGCACCTGGAGACTCTTGGGCAGCCTGGTGCAAACAACAGCTTTAGCGCGCGTGGGGCGGGGCTTCCGCGGGGAAGGGGTGGGCGGAGCTGAGCCTTGGGCGGAGAGGCGGGGGCCGATGAGTGGGCGTGGCCATACTTGGGCGCGAGAACTCAGGTTGGGAGGCTGGAGAAAACAGTGGCTCTAGGGAGCGTGGGGCGGGGCTTCCGCTAGAAGGGGGCGTGTCTTAAGCCTACCGGGGCGGGGCGGGCGAGTGGGCGTGACCACCATTGGGCGGGAGAACTCAGTTGGGAGGCTGGAGAAAATAGTGGCTCTAGGGAGCGCGGGGCGGGGCTTCGCACAGGAAAGGGGCGTGTCTAAGTGTACTGGGGCGGGGCTGAGCCATGGGCGGAGGGAGGGGAAGAGTGGGCGGGGCCATCCTAGGGCAGGAAAGTTTAGCTAGGGAGCCTGGAGAAAGAGATGGTTCAAAAGTGCGTGGGGCGGGGCTTCTGCAAGGAAGGGGCGTGTCTACGCTCGCTGGGGCGGGGCGGG